AGAGGAATTGAGTCCTTGCTTACTGAAATGGATTGAAAATAATCTTTTGTCATCTGTGAAAGACCAGGTATTTATAACTGCCTCTCTCAATACGTTGATCTAATCCCTATGACAGATAATCTTTTTGTCACCTCAGTGCTGCACTCTAAGGGCAATTTAAATACTTAATGAATTCCCTAGAAGTGACCATGGGAGAAGATTTTGTGGTTGATGTGTGCTCTGTCCTGGCACCCCAGTCTATTCTGATTTTTATTTGGATTCTGCTACTAAATTCTGTCTTGAATATGGACCAGCTTTGTGGTGTTTTTGCTTGAGAACTGCTTCTGTTTCCTTATGGCTTTGTAAGAGTCTCCAACACTCTTGCTCCCAAACAGGCAGCCTGCTAAAATGAAATAGCTCAGGTATTGTGAGATTCAGCATACAATGAGACAAATATTTCTCCTGAAGGTTGCTTCAGATGTTGAGTTGTGACAGAAATTTAAATTCAGAGATTTCAAGGCTCTTGTTTTCTGATGGAAAACTTACTTTTTGTTAGAAATACATAGAATTATGAATCAATATTCAATTTAATTTGTTTAACACAACTAATTATCTCTTTAGGACATCTAGAGATATTGCTTACTAGGTTTTGTATATACAGTGAAAACAAAATGTTGATGTTCATTTAGTTTTTGCTTGATAAGGAGGAAAATGATCACAAAAGAATAAATCCAGTTGGACTAGATTAAAAAGAGAGATTAAAAATTACAAAACAGCTAGCAAGATAAAGCAGGTAACTGTATGTATTCACTAATTCTTTTCATAAAGAGAAAAAAAAATTAAATTAGCCAAGCAAAAAGGGTCTTATATCATGTGACCTATGATTATTAGCCAATGGATTTTAACTAGACTACAAACAGTGAAAATCCTGGCCTCAGTTTTTCTTTTACGGATTCTTAAGGAAGCACAATGTGATTTAGGATTCAGCCAGTCAAATTTTCTGAGAAATGCAGAGTTCTTCTCTTAATTCCAATTCTCTACTAACAACTAGCTGTTCTTTTGCTTCTTTTCATTCTAAATTCATTTAGAATTCATGATAACTCTGCAGCAGCCTCAAACTTGGGCACATTCTTGTTTCCCTTTTTTCTGTGTCGAATACCAACCTTCTCTGCTTTGTTACAGTCAGCATATGTTCTCCTGCCTGCATCAGTTCTTTTGTTATAACAGTATCCTCAGTATTTTCTTCTTCATCATTTTCTGTGTTCTACATTCTGTACTCTGCATCAGTAAGATGATATTGTCTTATTACACTGCAAAATGAACAATGTTTGAAGCCAAATGTGGGACATTTATTCACTGTCTGCTACTCTTGCAGGTTTTGCCACTTTTGAAATCACAGCTGAAAGTTCTTAAAAATAGGCTTATGGTAGCCTGTCTCTCAACACTTGGAAGTGCTAGGATTTGTTCCAGGAAAATATTTAGTTTCCACATCCATGTGCACTTTAGTGTTAATTTCTTTTAAGTTGATGAGAGAGACAGATGATAATAATTCAGACCAGTTTTTGTGTAACCAAAAAGAAATGGCTTCAAGATTTGTACTTGTTGACAATTTCACCCTCTTTTCAGAACATGTGTTTCAGAAACATCAGTAATATAAATGAAGCATAGACTGGAGCAGGGAATGTACTTACAAAGTTGGTTGCACCTTTTCATACTGGGCTGGCTTAGTGATTAATACACTTCTCTCTAGAGACTCACAAGTAGTCCATATTTTCTCTGCCTTCCATTCTGTTTCAGTAGTGCATTGACATGGAGGGTGAAAGTTCTCTAAATAAACCATTTTTATGGTGCACTTGTGTAGCTGATGCCGGAAATGTCATGTAAATCCAGAGGCTAATATTGCTTACAGAAGATCAATTCAGGCCTATATGAATGAAATGCCATGGTAATTCCTAACAGTCAAAGCTAAGGCTGTGATTTACCAGGAAGACTTATTCCCTAGATTAAAAGGGAAGAGACTCCCCTTCCCTTAGACACCAAATAAGGAATAGATTAGGAGTTGTAGAATCATGCACATTGAGAGATATTATTAAAGTAGAACAGATAATGAAATTTGACTTTTTGTTTTAAGAGACTGTCCCCTTTGTATTTGATTTTAGTAACATGATAAAGAAAGGGAGGGAAATATTACTCTTGACTTCCCCTATCTATTGTAGTGTAAAAATAAATGTGAAGTCATTTTCAAGGACCAAAGTGTGCTCCACCCTCACATCCTCATTTGTTGAGAGAAGTGGTGAATGTGCATTGACATTCTTATATATCATGGAAAAAAAATATTAAATAATACATGTATTTTAGCTGCATTACTTACTGTCACGACACAGTCAGGCGTCCAGTTCATCATTTTAACCCTCTTTGGTTTAGTGGGGATTGTTGACCATGAGCGTGTGAGCAGATTTTGATTCCAGTTTGGAAAAAAAACAGTGGGAGAAGGGGAGATAAAAGAGAAGGATTCAGCAGAGATTCAGAAGTTTCATTAGGTATGGAAACTCACCATTTTTCATAACGCAGGAATTAGGGAACACAAAATGAGAACGCTAAGCAAAAGGGAAGTACTTTATCACACAACGCATAATTAAATTGTGAAACTCGATTCCACAGCATGTTGAGGAGGCGAAAGGTACAAATGAGGTCAAAAAAGGCTAAAAACAAATTTGTGTGGAATAGATCATATTAAATGCTGCTAAACAAGATGGCCCAACTGAAACATGCTCAGTAAATCCCACTACTGTTGAATTTCAGAAATAGGACATTTACTTACATCGGTGATCATTTTGTCTGTTTTCTGGTTCTTATCTTTACCTAAATATCTACTGCTGGTCACTGCTAAAAATGGATTCTGAAGCAGAAGGATCTCTAATGTGACTCTGATTGGTTTTATTCTTGATAATTTTGAACAGAATCTGTTTTGGATACCTCAGTACCTTCAGAAGCAGGGGCAGGCAAGGTTGAACTGCCCTATAGAACAACAACAAACACCAGGAATACCCAACCACATCCGTCCTAGGAAATCTTAGTGATACTCTGTCCAGAGCAGCCCTGATACAGTTGTGTTCTGCCTTAGCTGAATCCAGCATCTGTGGGAGCAACAACAGTTACTTTCCTTTCCTATGGCCTTTTTCACTTTTTTTTTTTTTTTTTAATAGAGGCAGCCCAAAAGAATGTGATAATATTATATGACTATTTACATGTATGTTTGGATTGACACTTAACAAACATGAAGCTATCTCAAGAATTTTCCATTTTTGAATTTTATTAAAAGGAATCCCAGCTGCAGCCCATCCACTCGAAGTGTACTCACTGTTCAGTCTAGAAGTTAAATAACCTCAGTGACCACTGGCTAGATTGCAGGACGTGCTATAGATTATCACTAAATGTTCATGTTGACTATTTCTGTAGCTAAATGTGAAACTTAATGTGAAAGTTTTTGAAGGAGTTTCAATAGAAATATGACTTTCACACAGTACCACTGGTCAGTGTTTTCTTCCGGTGAAAACTTTTACTGGAAAGAGTCTATTTTCTTAGACCATATTTTTATTCATCAGAAAACTGAAAGCTATTTTCTACCACAGGCTGGGACTATTTTCAGATAAAACTCAGAGGAGTGTAATCAAGTAATACAGATTCCATGGCCAACTTGCACCTTTGTCTGAAGCCTGGTTATTTAACTAATATTCCTCAGATGCAGATATATTTAGATCTGGCATAAGTGCTTGCAATTCCTTGGAACTCTATGGAGCTGCAGCTGCTTGCAGTGATTTTGAGTAGGTCAGTGCTCTCCAGCACAGCCTATGGTCATACCTTCCAAAACTGGATTAACTCTTTGATTGCTGGGCTTAACCTGAAGGAAATAGCTTAAAAAAAAAAAAAAAAAAAAAAGCCACAAAATAATATATAGCCTTTTTTTTTTTAATTCCAGTGAGAAAAGCTGTAAGGGATGTTATGAAGAATGGCTCATGTTTTCAATACTTCTTTCAAAATTCTCTCACAAAGTGTAATTTTGAAGTTTTTTTTACCAAAATTTATTTTAGAAAAAGATTTTTTTTTGAAAGAATACTTCCTGAACTCATGCTTTTACATTCTGAAGGCTTTATTTTTTTTCTAATCTCTCTCCTTTTCCTGTTTTAATTTGAAAGAGACAGGAGAAAAAAGCAAAGTGTAATTAAAACAGGAAAAATGAATGAAACACTTTTCTTGTGCATTGTTCTTCCTGGAAAAAAAAAAAACTAGGAAAAAAATATTTGAATATTGAAATAATTCTAACATGTTATCATCTTCATTCATAACTTCCTTGGGAAAATACACTGAAGGATTTTAATAGTTTGGCAAGTCTGGATGTTAGGTTGTTAACACACAGTTTCTTTTTTTTTCAACTATCATTTTTTTTTTAATCACTTTGTTTTTTAACAATTCAGCACATTTGTACAGTGTTGAAACCAAGTGTAACATTTTGTGTTACTGGAGAAGAACCAGATAGTCAGAGATCCAGAATTGAAACTCATACTGGTTTATAGTAATCATTTAACTACCAAACTTCATTGTGGTGTTTTCTGACAAAATTCCCAGGATATCAAAATCCAGGCTGGAGGTCTGAATGCTTTCCTGTGTAACCTACCAAAGGGACCCTGTTTTAGCAAGGGATTTGGGCTGGGTGATCTCCAGAGGTCCTTTCCAACCCCTATGACTCTGTGATTCAGTGTTTGTTACAGGAATCACAGTTATTTACAGAATCACAGAATGGACAGGGTTGGAAGGGACCTTAAGGATCACGAATCTTCAACCCCCCTGACACATGTAGGGCCACCAACCTCTCCATTTAATGCTAGACCAGGCTGCCCAGGGCCCCACCCAATCTGGCCTTGAACACCTCTAGAGACGGGGCATCCACAGCCTCTCTGGGCAGCCTGTTCCAGCACCTCACCACTCTCTCTGTAAAGAACTCAATTTACATATTGAAACAAAAAGCAGTGCAGATTTTTTTGTATATTAAATGTATTATTTTTTAGAAGTCTGTACATGTTTTGAACTACTTTGCACATTTGCAATATATTGTCGTATTCAAAACACACAATGAGATGTTGTGTATGTGGGAACTGTTGAGTCATGGCCTAAACAACTGGTTGATCACCTGGGGAAAAGACCTGGTCAGCCCTGGGAACACAGGTGAAGGCAATTCATCTATGTAACCAGAAGGGGTGGAGCCTGGCTGCAGCTCTCTCCTCTCTTAGACCTCATTTAAGGGCTGACTGTCACTTGGGAAGGATCCCTTTCTGGAGATCCTTCCTTGATGAGTCTTTTCCCCTGCAAACCTGGAATCTTCTGATACAGGTGAGCAATTTTCCTTTATTGCACCTTTCCAATTGTGCTGATTCTTCTGTTATTGTACATTTGTTTTATGCCTTTCCCATCATATTGATCTGTCCAATTGCTACATGTACGTATAAAAAAAGAGTGTTTGTGTTTAACATAGTTGTTGACAAAGACATATGTGGATGTGGCATGTAAATGAAATCATAACATTTGTTTTCTTTGTATAGAGGAGTGAAGCTCTCAGCTGTATTGTTTTTTCCACTCTTTATTGAATTGAAGTTTTACAAGCTTTGACTTAATCAGTATAAAATATTTTGTATCAGTGCTTTATTTTTCAATTAAGGTTGCACTTGCCAGCCTGTTCCGTATGTAAAAATAAGTACTATACACTTATCAGATATGTGTGTCTAACAAAAAATGTGTTTTTTGTTAGGCTATTGGAAACAACTTCCTAGCAAAATTCTTTTGCATGCATTCTGGGGTAAAAACTTACTACTCTAGATCGTGTTTCTCCTTTATCATAATTTAGGTATTGAAAGTATTCATAAAGTCATATACTGAAGATTTTTAGAAGTCAGGATGAAAAAGCGCAAAGGCAAAAATTATTAAATCTTTCATGATAAATGAAACTTTAACAAGTAAAAGGATTACTTGATATTGATAGACATATTCCCACTGAAAGTTTGGCCTATGTTTTATATTGTGCTGGACTCTAGAAACTTTGGTGACTTATCTGTTAAGATATCTTAAAATATGGATCTGAAGGTATCTGTTCATATGTGTGTATATGATGTGAGTTGTTCTTGTTAAAGCAAAATCAGTGAATCAGTACAGGAATGCCAGGTTTACATACTGAATGTTCATAGAATCACGAAGGTGGGAAAAGACCTCTAAGAACATCCAGTCCAATCATCCACCTGCTACCAATATTTCCCACTAAACCATGTCCCTCAGTATGACATCTAAATGTTTCTTGAGCACCTCCAGGAGCTCTGACTCCACTACCTCCCCTGGGCAGCCTGTTCCAACAGCTGACTGCTCCTCTGAAGAAGTTCTTCCTAACATCCAACCTGAATCTCTCCTGGTACAACTTGAGGCTACTTCCTCTAGTCCTATCACTAGTTATGTGGGAGAAGAGGCCAACCCCTTCCACCCCCTGCACCCTTCCTTCAGGTTGTTGCAGAGCAATAAGGTCTCTCCTGAGCCTCCTCTTCTCCAGAGTAAACTATCCCAGTTCCCTCAGATGTTTCCCATAAAACTTATGCTCCACAGCCCTCACCAGTTTTGTTGCCCTTCTCTGAGCATGTTCCAGGGCATCAATGTCTTTCTTGTAGTGAAGGGGCCCAAAACTGAACACCGTACTTAAGGTGCATTCTCACCAGAGCTGAGTACAGGGGAGCGATTGCTTCCCTGCTCCTTCTGGCAGCACTATTTCTGATGCAAGCCAGGATGCTATTGGTCTTCTTGGCCACTTACGGAGATGTTCTGAAAATCAAGTTGTGAGGTATCACTGCGCATACTAATATAGTTAAGAGAGTTTTCTTTAAATCTTGTTCCCAGATTTCAGTGCCACAAAAAGAGCTTTAATTAGGGACAACGTGGAAAGTGAATCTTTACTTTAGGACCACTAGTCAGTATTGGTACTTCCATTTTAAAGAAATGTGGTAGAAGATTAGATATGCTGTGAGAATTAAGTTCACAGCCACATTATCTGCAACATTCTGATGATTTCATTTACAAAGCATCACACTGACAGCTTAGTCAGTTGGTAAGGAAATCTGATTCTCCTAAATGGGACAGATCTTGAAAGAAGGAATCTGGAGGCACCACTAGAGATAGAACACAAGTATCAGATGTACAGAGCATGATATTTTATATAATGTGACTTATTTAAAGTATGTTACCTTCACAGTGATAAAGTAAATGTTTATCATATAACTTTGACTAATAATTCGAGTAGTTATTATGTGAAGATGTTGTATCCAGAAAGCAAATTTTCTTACAAGATATAAACAAGGCAGAGAAGTATACAGCACAGGCATACTTTCAAGGGTTCTGGAGTGGTGTCATGGGCCTCATGCTGCAGTGTGGAACCTAGTCTGGAGATTGGTGATGACACTGTCGCAGCTGTGGAGATTGGTTTATTTTAGCTGATGATAACATATACCTCACTGAGATGCGCTTCAGAGGACAGGAGTGCTTTTTGTGATTCACCAAAATTATGCCTCTCTTTCAAGGAAAAATTCTTCCTTAATCATTGTGATTTCACTTCTGTACTTCAAACTCCGTAAGATCAACAGTGAACTATAATCTGAAATGTTCTCAGAAATCCAGGTGTGATTTCAATAAAAGTCACTGCCTTCATTATTCCTTTATCTTTTTCCAACTTTCATTTTGATTTTTTTTATATCTTCAAGTTCACATGATCTTTGGTCCTGACAGAAAACAGGATCTGTATTGAGGTCCAGTGTCTTCATATTTTTTTTAATCTGTAAGTATAAGTTAGAGATGTGGCAGCAGCTATAAATTCATATGTAGAAGAAAAATTATTCAGCACATCAAGTAGTATGCAGATTGTAGTATTCTCTGTTGTAAAGAGCTGCCTGCAAAATAGTCTAGACAGTAGCAATAGTACGTAACAGCCTGGAAAAATAAAAATCCTCTAGATTTACAGCTTGTAAAATTAGAACAATAGCCTTGTCACCTTTTTAATCATATTGTGTATATTGTTTCCTTGGTTGAACCAATATGGTACACTTTTCCTCTAAATAATGTCACAATAAACAGTCAGAAAATTGAATCCTTGATGATGAATCAAATATCAGTGTCTTTTTGAATCTGTGGAATACCTTCCACCTGAAAAAGTGTTCCACCTGCAAAGTGTTTGCATATCAATAAATAAGACTGAGAATGTTTGTGTTATGTTCTGATGATATATAAGAAGTTGCAGTACCACAGCTCCAATTAACATCGCCATCAACAGAGTCCAGAAGCAAAACAAACATCTGTATTCCTGCATGTATTTTTGACATGCATTTTAAAGTGCCCTGTGTGTCATGAGATTGTTTCTTTACTATGTTAAAAGGCATTTAAGTTGTAAAGGCAAAGATTCAAACTTGATGTCGATGACAAACTTGACAAGCCTGAAAGCAATGACATTTCCTTTAAAAAATAACAAGGTTTAAGGTTACCTTAATGCCACTCCATCATGGAATTTTACTAAACAGGCTTTAATGGCATTACGTAGCTTCTGACATTTTTTTTTTTTAGCAAAAATTCTTATGTACTTCATCTTTTTCAGCTTTTATAAAAGAGACAAAAATTCAAACTGAAATTAAAATCTGTATCATCTGCCTGCAGGGCTGAAACCTGCACCAAGTTCTGTCATTTAATGGAACTACTGGTAACCCTAGAGAACTTAAGGTCATTTATGCAAAAAAAAAGTTATGGATTTATGAAATATTTTGTCAAAGATTTTACAGCTATTTTGCATCCATTTTAGGGATAGACTTAAAGCTAGCGCTTCAAAGTTATGCGTGTTCTCAATCTTCCAAGACTGACTCTCATTTCTTGACCTACTTTTTTTTTTCCTATCTGTATAAAACAAAATTATCATGTTTGTCTTCCCTCTGTTTGTCTTATTCTTTTTCCGTTGTTATGAAACAAATCATATGACTTCTTTGTTCTCTACAATATGTTCATTTCACATGGATCATCTCTTTATGGGGCAGCTGTATGAACAGATTACACCTGAGCATGTGGTATTTCCCCTTTGGGAAAAGAAAAGGTCTTTTACTAAATAAGGAGAAAAATCTACCTGTTCAAAAAAATACAATGTGTCCTTGAGATTAACACCTCTTCCACTGTTTTTGAAAGCATCATAAAAAAAAAAAATGGGAAGAAACTTCATCAGCATGAGTCTGGTGAGACTGGGATTTCTGAGAACTTTATGTTCCAATAAACAAATTGTGGTGCCATTTGTCACAGGATTAGAGTTTTTTTTAAAAGCCATTAACATAATTAGGTCATGTAACTTCTATTCCATTTCCAGGCTTTGATGCTTAAGAGTGGATGAAAAGAGCACAGAAAGTTTTTTCCAGATGAGAAATATTTTTACAGCTTCAGTGGTTAACAAGTGTTGAGGTGGAAGCACTGATCATACCTAAGTTTTGGTTTTTGGTAAAACTTCACTGGTGACCATATGCAACTTGCTTAGAACTCAGTATCTTCTTCTTAACTGTTACTTATTTATGTTCATTCCTCTTGACCAATAAATCAGGTCAAATGTTATGGTGAGAATAAGAAAATATTACAATGAAAATGAAATTGTTAACTACGACTGCCAAAAAAAAAAAAAAAGTGGTAGCAGCTTGCAAAGAGTTTGTGGTTTATCTCAACAATGTAAGTCCCTTATGTTTATTGGCACATCTCCAAACTTCCAAGATGCTGTTGGCAGCTAACAAAAGTACAGTACATCTTTATTTTGTGGAGCTTCTGCCATTCAAACACTTTCTCACATGTTTTACCAAGTAACACATACAGTATGAGAAATGCAAGTAAAACAATATTTAGCAATAACACCTTAGTTCTATCAAAGAGAATTCCTTACAGTATCTTTTCAGAGAATGTGAGTTGAATTGACCAATAGAATCAGCTGCTGAATACTTCAAAATATCAGCATTCATCATTAACCTAAAGTAATTCTTTACAAAATGGTTTTCATAAATGTTGCGTTCCTTATAGGAACTGAGTGCCCATGTATTGTGCAACAGTTCTTTCTCATGATTAATAAGCAAACATTCAGGGTTTTTATATTCTAGTGACCTCTTTTTTTGTTTCCCTCTAAACTATGCGTCTGTCCCACCAAACTCTTCCTTAAACCAATTTCCTAAATGTGGCAGCTTAAAAGTTGCTAGTTGCTAATAAGTCTCTGCTACTCATAGATCTAATAACTACTTCTACCTTCTCTTTACCTTAAATAATAACTTTGCATCTGAATCTTCCCAGAATATGTACTT